AGATATGATCATACTTAATTATAATCAGTGTCTGAACAATGTGATATTGTTTTCTGTATTATTTTAATAAATCAATATAATAGGTGGTGCAAAAATCTCTGGAAAAATGTTGAATTCTGTTACGTAATATTTCTAACTTTTAAAGCCCTGAACTCTTTTTTGTTAGAAAGAGCAATGTCTGCACTACAAACTTTCTATGAGACATATTTTTCAAGAATGAATTTGAGAAGAAGCAATAGCGAAAAAACGAAAACTTCTAAAAACGCTCTTGCAACTTCACGATCGAGTAATATCATTTTGTATTTTCAGTTAGTTATTTTATATGCAAAGAAAAATAAGAAAGCACGCTCAATGATAATTTTTGCAGCATAAATGAGCTTTCCATCCAATAGTGTATCGCAATTTGAAGTTATTTTTGGTTTTGTACAAATCAATAGCTTCTGCTAAAATTTTACAACTATAGCTATATATTTTGACGAAATAATGCAAAAAGAATTCAGTTCATGCAAGATTTCTACATATGGTGGCTGATATTTTTGTAAACTAATATCTCTTGGAAAAGAAAGAATTTTGCAAAAATTTCATGTTTCAAATTCTTTTAATCGAAGAATCAAAAGTTGAACCAAAAGTATTCTGAAAACTGATACCGATGGAGCTTTTGATGCGCTAGATTGGGTAAATTTTTTGTTCAATTTCGATCCAGGTAGCTGCAAATACTTGAGAAATACTGATTTTTCAAGTTGTAAAAGCGTTGTGCAAGACTCTGTTTTAGAGATGTTTGGTTTTTAGATTTTCCTTCTTCGCAGATACGTTTTGGAAAAATATGTCTGGTAAAAATTTTTATTGGTTTAGAAGTCGACAATATGGTTTCAGAAATCAAAATTTTTCCAAATACTTCTGCTTCGATTATTATTCAATAAAAACTTTATATTGTAAAGATGAACAAGACAGAATAATAAGAATGATGATAAACCAGAACGTTTTCAATTTCAATTTTTTTGTATGTACAAATATTTAAAATGTGAACATAAAGTTTTTAAAATCAATACACCAGATTTTATAGTCGCATATCATCCATAGGTATTTGCTTCAATATCGACGAAAAACAAAGAAACTTTTTACGTGTATTATTTAGATTCGAAATACGAGTGTAGACCGTATCATCGGTAATAAAGTTCTTTCAAGACGAAAAATATCTTTTCAAATTCTTATAAAATCTGATTTTTCTAATAGAAAACAAAATCTCCACCCATATAAGTCATAAACAAAACAATATGTAGACATAGATGTTGACAGATTTCTACAAAAATTACAGTTAATCGAAGCATAGTTTTTCGCAAACTTTATGAATATATCCTTTATAACTTCATGTGAAATCACGATCATAAATGGTTGCCAAATTTATACAGTAGTCGCAAAACAGAGAGACAGTATTGTTATTCGATGTTTGAATGAATGATAATTTTCTATTTCAACGCCATCTTTCATAGTCTTCTTGTGTTTGGATTTTGATATGTAACCAATTAAAAAACTTCATGAATATTCTTTTGCACATTTATTGACTTGATCAGTAACTGTGATAGTTTATAAAACTCTTATTTCAATGTTTACTAATCGTTTTTTATTTATTCGACGTTTACCCACATCCATCATTGTCTGGCGTCATAATCTAATAAATCCTATAACTCAAATATCAACATCTCATTCTCAAGAACTTTACAATTGGAATGTAGCAATGACACAATCGAATAAACGTAAAACACCTAAAAATACACTTGCATTGTTCGATAAATTAATAACTCAACATCCAGATATAACACCTGACTTTATTACTTATCTTCTTGCCTTGAGTGCTTGTATACGTTTGGGTAATTTGGATGAAGGGAAACGTATTCATGAATATATTCGACAAAGATGGTCAACAACAGTTGAAAAAAATGAAGAAATTAAAATACATACATGTCTTGTTCAACTTTATGCAACATGTGGTGATTTAAAAACAGGTTAATAATAAAACGTTAAAAAATTAAAAAAACCAAATAGTTTCTTTTTCGTTTTTTTTTTGCATAGCTGAAGAAATTTTCTATAAAGAACATCTTAATCAACATGCTATTCCAGTAAATACTTTAATGAAAGGTTATGTAATAAATAATCGAGCAGATTTAGCTGTTCAACTTGCTGAACGCTTACCAAAGAATGAACGAAATATTGTTACATTTGTTTTATGGGCAAATGCCATAGCACAAATAGGTGATATACAAATGGCTGATCGAATTCATAGAGAATTAAATACTTTATCGTCTTCAACTCGAGCTTTTTTTGCTCATGATCGTAGATTAATTAATGCATTGATTGATGTATGTCATTCAGAAAATTTTGTATTGTTTTTCATAAACCATATTAATCGGTTGTAGATGGATGGAAAAT